GAATTCAGCCAGCAGTAGGTGGACAAAAGAAGACCAAAAGTTTGATTTGATGAAAGCTCAACATGAGCCAAGGGAATGTCTTAACTTCTGGGGTGAGGAAAGGGAGAAGACAGATATAGATATAAAATCCAAATCCAAGGGGGTAAGAGCACTTCTTTCCTATTTACTGGTCAGGCCAAACTTTGGGCAATGAGTTCTCACACTGAGTGAAAAACTAACTGGAGATTTCTCAATTTCCTTCTAATTATAAAAGTATATGCTTCTAAGTGAGTTACATAATCACCTTCTTCTCTTTAAAAATGGAAAAGAAATTCAAATAAGGATTTTGTTACTTGTTAAGCCTCACAAGAGTCCCTGGATATTTAGCCAGTCATATTATCCTAATGATACAAAATGAAACACATTTCCTGAGAAAAACAACAAAGCTCTACTAAGTGAAGCCTTGGAACCAGAAGGGTTTATTCTCATCTTTGCTACTGAATAGCTAAGCATGATCCATTTACCAGCCTGTTTCCACATCTATAAAATGGAGTAATAATAATTCCTTTCAAACCTAGTTCACAGAGTTTTATATCTCAAAGAACATATGAAAATACTCTAAAATTTAAACCACTATACACACGTTAAATCACAATAGCTCCTTTGGCAAAAGCCTTACTCACATTTTCAGTCACTTAAGAGTTTTTAACAGAAATAGCTTCTTCGAAATACAGTCCAATCAGCATTTCAATGAACTGTCATAGTAAGTGATATTTCCAACTCTCTGTCAATATGAGTCTCTCATACAGTCTGATGGGGACGGCAACCCTATCATTTACTTTAGGAGAAAATGCCGTACTTGTTTAGCCTTCTTTAGAACTGTTCCCACAAATAATGTCATACTTTAAAACTACAGCTCCAAGAAATGGTAGAAATCAACACCCTTTATTTGACAGCGGGGCTCGAGGTCTAAATTAACTCAGCGGCAAGTCCCTTGGCTCTCTGCGCCTCTGTCTCCATCTCTAAAATGGAGACCGTGATACAATCCTGCCAGACTGATTTAAGAATTGTAAATAACATCAACGCAGCTCTTGGATCACAAGAGGGGGGACTGGACTTCTCAACACAACAGCCTATAAACTTAGAACGCCCGACTGTTCCAGCCCAGGCAAATCTGTTACCAAGCTGATTCTGCTCAAAACGGCCAGAAGAATAAAGCAAACGTCAGTAATTGCAGAGGTAGAGACGCCACTGGAGGACCAGAGGTCCTGGTTATTCATCAAGGCTTCACTCCGCTCGGCCTCCATCGGCAACTTACGAGCATCAACCTCAGTTACATCTGTGAACGAAGAAGCGACTGGCTCAACTGTGGCATCACTACCGTAACTGGCAACAGCCTTTCGCCCAACTGTCAGACACTAGCAAACTCTGCTCCTGGCCTGCACTGCGGAGCTCTGAACGACTTCATCACTGGGCACGCAGTCCCCGAAGGAAGGAACGTCCCACACCGCGCAGCCGCCGCCGCCGCCACCTGTCTGGTCCCGCCGCCGGAATCACGGCGGCAGCCCTAGGTTCCCCGAGCCGTGCGGTGCCCCCGCCGCTTCCACCGGCCCTGCGCCCGCCCGCGACCCCAGCCCCGGCGCCATACCTGTCTCCGCGCTCCCCGAGGACTGCTCTTCCCTCCCGAAGGCTGCGGCAACCGTTCCTGGGCAACTGAGAAGCCTGCGGAGAGGACGGTGGACTTGACTTCTCTGAGCACGGAGGGGCAAACTGGTCAACAGCCCCAAACCACGAGCCGCCATCGTCAGAGCTGCAGGAGCGCGGACAACAGGGCGCCAGGCTTCCGCGCATGCGCGCGGAGGAGGTGGGAAAGGATGGGAAGCCTAGAGGGTCAAACTAGGCGAAGGACGCGAGTTGCGGCTTGAATGAGGCTTTCGCACGTGTCTGATTTCCCCTCTCCCCCGGTTCTCTAAAAGGCTCCCAGGAGAACGAGCACGCCACCTACTTTTTCAAACTGAGTCATGAAAATAGAACCAGAGAGCAAGGGCATGAGGAAGGAGCACTGACTTGCGAATCTATACTTAGAAGATGATAAACGACAACACTTTTTCTTTACCAAACACTAAGTGCTCTACGTGGGTTGACTTTTTAAATCCTTACCACAGGCCTGTGACGTAGGAACTCTTATCTCGATTTATTTATGGGGAGGTTAAGGCATAGAGACGTTGAGTAACATTCCTAAAGTTCTACAGCCAGGCAGGGGCAGAAATGGAAGTTAAACCTAGGTTTCCTTATACAGGGTTTTTTTCTTTCCCTCCTTTCCTCCCCTTCCTTCCTTCCTCTCTCTCCCCCTCGCTCCCTCTTTCACACTTTCTGTAACAGTTTGACTGAGATTTAAGTCATATACTACACAATTCACCCCTTTAGGTGTACCATTCAATGGTTTTTAGTATATTCACAGAGATGGGCAATAATCACAATCATGCTTAGAACGCTTCATCACCTCCAAAAGAAACCTTGGGCCGGCTAGCTACCACCCCTAATCACCACACTCCCCCTAGCCCTAAATTACCACGTACCTATGTGTCTCCTCGGAACTGACTTTCTGGACATTTCATACAAGTGGAGTCATACAATGTGTGTTTTTTTGTGACTGGCTTCTTTCACTCGGTATAATGGTTTTATGGTTCGTCCATGTTGTAGCATCTATCAGTACCTTATTCCTTTCTATGGCTGAATAATACTCCATTGTAGGAATATGCCACAGGTGGTTATCCTGTCATCACTTAAAGGGCATTTGGGCTGTTTGGGGTTGTTTCCACCTTTTTGTGCTGCTTTGAATTTTCATGTACAAGTTTTTGTGTGAACATATGTTTTCACTTCTCTTGGGTGTATACCTAGGAGTAGAATTGCTGGGTCATATGTTTTAACTTTTTGAGGAACTGCAGGCTGTTTTCCAAAGCAGCTGCATCATTTTCATTCTCATCACTAGCATATGAGTGTTCCAATTTCTGCACATTCTTGTCCAATACTTTTCATTTTCCATTGTGTTTACTTATTCCATTCTATTTTTGCTCAGTAGAATTCTAATTATAAAAAGGTTTTATAATAAGCATGTGTCAACATATTAATTTAGCCATTAAAAATTAAATATAGGGTTCTTGAAGGATAATGGTAGTGTTTTATTCTTTGAACTGTGTGGTGGGGCTACAGTGGCTCATTGTATTCGAATTCTTCTTACCACACACATGTTTATGAATGTTATTTTGTATCTACTCAATGTTTAATAAAAAGTTACACTCATCTGATTCTTTTCTTGTTAATGACTGCTCCTTTGCAAAGGCCAGTGCAAATACATTCTGGTCCATAAGTTGGAGGTTCTGGTTAGCTGAGGTCAGCTCATTCAGGTTTCTCTACGTCCATCAGTTATTACCCGCATACTGCCAAGGAGGAGGGTGGATGGGGGAGAGATGGAATGGGAGGTTGGGACTGGCAGATGCAAACTATTATGTATAGAATGGATAAGCAACAAGGTCCTACTGTATAGCACAGGGAACTATATTCAGTATCCTGTGATAAACTATAGTGGAAAAGAATATGAAAAAGAACATTATATATATATATATATATATATATATATATATATATATATAACTGAATCACTTTGCTGTGCAGCAAAAATTAACACATTGTAAATCAAATCAATAAAAAAAAATTACCCCCGTAGATTCTCTCAAACATGGGAAAAAACAACCAAACTTCAAGGTATTACTAAATATTTGTTACAGATGGCAGCCTTAATTTATTGACTTACGATTTTACCTTCTATTATGGATTGAATTGTGCCCGCACCAAAAAAAGATATGTTGAAGTCCTAACCCCCAGGACCTCAGAATGTGACCTTATTTTGAAATAGGGTTGTTACAGATAAGGGTTGTAATCAGTTAAGATGATGTCTGCTGGAGTAGGGGAGGTGTAACTGATGTCCTTATAAGAAGACAGCCATGTAAAGTCAGACACACAGGGAGAATACCAGGCGATAACAAGGTGGAGACTGGAGGGATGTAGCCAAAAAACAAAGAACACCAAAGATGGCCAGCAAACCACAGAAGCTGGGAACAGACAAGAAAGAATTCTTCTGTAGGTTTCAGAGGGAACATAACCCTGCTAACACCTTCACTTTGGATTTCTATCTTTCAGAACGGTGAGACAATAAATGGGAAAGTAGGGGCTGAGGGGCATAGAAATGAGAGACTTTTAGCATCTCGGTATTTTTTAAAAAAACAAACAGGTATTATTTTTATCATTAAAAAGCAAAAGGAATCCTATGCAGGTTGGAAAGCCAAGAGAAAAAGAATTAGCAAATTCTTAAATTGTGTCTACGTTTCATATGCCACTAAAATACTTTTTACACGGTAAGCTAGTCTTTGATAAAATGTGAACGCGTGTGATATAAGGCTCCAGAAACCATACATTCAGGTTGTGCCCATGTAATTATTAACGCCACACTCTTTCACTCTCAAAAGTATTCCCATTCGGATGATAAATTGTCCGGCTACCTTACTAATGCCCTTTCAGATCCTGGTTTCCTGTTCAAGTCACCAAGAAGGATTTTTACATTCAAAGCTGAATAAATGGACTGAGAACAGCTCAGCAAAAAGAGGTGCCAGGGAAAGCTTTACTAGCAAAGAAAAGCAAACTGATAGTCACTGAGATTTTGAAAGGAATGAGCTATCACTATCTTGCAATTTCTGTGAAATTATGTTTTTTATCTATAAAATCGTGAAAATTTTGCATTCTCTACAATATTTATATTTTTGCTGCATAGAAAAATAACACTTTTCCTCACTGTAGAATTAAATTAGTCAGCCCTCTCTATCCACCGTTTCCACATCTGCAGGTTCAACCAATCACAGATGGAAAACATTGGAAAAATAAAATTCCAGAAAGTTCTAAAAAGCCAAACTTGAATTCTCCCCATGAAAGCAACTATTTACATAGCATTTACAGTGTATTAGGTATTATAAGTAATCTAGAGATGATTTAAAGTACAGTTGTCTCTTGAACAACACGGCTTTGAACTGCATGAGTCTACTTAACATGTGAATTTTTTTCAATAAATATATCGGAAAGTTTTCTGGACATTTGTGACAATTTGAAAAAACTTACAGGTGAAACTCATAGCCTAGAAATATCAAGAAAAATAAGAAAACATTTACGTTATGAATTCATAAACTATATGTAGATACTAGTATATCCTTACATAGGCATAAGGTGAGTGATTTTTTTTAAAAATTATTTATTTTTGGCTCCCTTGGGTCTTTGTTGCTGTGTGTGGGCTTTCTCTAGTGCCGCGAGTGGGGGCTACTCTTTGTCGTGGTGCGCAGGCTTCTCATTGTGGTGGCTTCTCTTGTTGAGGAGCACAGGCTCTAGGTGTGCGGGCTTCAGTAGTTGTGGCACGTGGGCTCAGGCTCAGCAGTTGTGGCTCGCGGGCTTATTTGCTCCACGGCATGTGGGATCTTCCTGGACCAGGGCTCGAACACTGTGTCCTTTGCACTGGCAGGGGGGGTCTTTTTTTTTTTTTTTTTTTCTTGCGTTATGCGGGCCTCTCACTGTCGTGGCCTCTCCCATTTGCGGAGCACAGGCTCCGGACGCGCAGGCTCAGTGGCCATGGCTCACGGGCCCAGCCGCTCCGCGGCATGTGGGATCTTCCCGAAACGGGGCACGAACCCGCGTCTCCTGCATCGGCAGGCGGACTCTCAAGCACTGCGCCACCAGGGAAGCCCTGGCAGGTGGATTCTTAACCACTGCGCCACCAGGGAAGCCCTAGAAGCTATCTACTTAAGAAACTAAAAGCTTCTTTTAAAATCATATTCTCTTTTAGTTAATCTTTATGAGTAAGTTGTAGAAACCAGGGAATTAAGGTTGGCATGACGTTCTGTGACATACAATCGTTGAAAATATGAAACAATATGTAACAAGCCAGTTGTTAAATATATTCAATGTGCTCATTATATAAACTCCTGGCTGCTCCAGAAGTTCAAGCCAGGAGGCCTTTGGTGAATTATAGCCTGGGTATCAGCTGCCCATCCCACTCACTCACTAAAATTCAGTCTTAGAATTCGTTGGGATTTATAATGGACAAATATGACTGCCAAAGTGATGTCTCGTGGTTATATTATGCAGGGAGATCAACTGTTCCCATGTAGTTTCCACAGAAATGATGATAAACTGGTTTCCCCAGTTCATTGGTATCTATGAGGTCATCCCCTGTCAACATTTAAAGCAATCGCTCAGGCCTTTCTATTCACATCGGCGGAGCCCCTTATCCCTTCCCTGAGTCTGTCTATCTCAGGTTGTTCAAGAATCCCAGGCACAGGCTTCTGCCGTCGGACGGTCTGGTCAACCAACACCGGGAGAAAGAACTGAGGGAATCTCATCAATTCTGACGACACAGGCCTCCTTTCCGCGGATGCTGTTTCTATTATGGCCACACGGGGTCACTGTTGGAAACTGGTGATTTCAAGCAGTGCAGCGCAGACCCCTCCAAAGCTGGCGTGAAGCCCTGCTTACTGTTGGGGTCTCAACGTCCCAGCAAAATAGCTTACATTCATTTTTAACTTACTCTGGGCCAGTATTGTATGCTGTCTAATTGCATCATTTAATTTAAACCTCACAATATGCCTGTGTTCAAAAAACAAAATTCCACCTAGTATATTTGAAGCTCTGATTAGTTTCATTCAAGGGTTCCTGAACAGGGCAGCACCCAACCTTGCAACCAAAAGGCACCCCAGGGGGTTAT